AAGTTAATGGAACTGCTTTGCATTTCTTTTTTGTTTGAGAAACTAGCCTGATGCTCACAATACTTCTCATTAAATTCATAAACTTCCCTGAACTTTACAGGACTTCCTAAAGTTTTCTCAATTTTTCTAACGATAATAGATCTCTTCTAAAGGTTTAAAAATTCGCTGAAGTTCATTAAACTTCTTTAAAATTTATGTGACTTCTCTAATGTTAACGGAACTGCTCTGAGGTTCTCTGTTCCTTTCTGAAATTATCGCAACTTCGCTAAGGTTTTTAAAGTTTTCATGAAGCTTGTTGTACTGCGCTGAATTTAATTGAACCGTCCTAAAAAATTTGAAGCTTCACTGAACTTCTAAACGCATGGGAAGACCTCAATTAAATGTTTAACGTATCTGAAGGTACCTGAAAATTTGGGAACTGCCTTAAATTTTCACTAATTTTCCATCTGAATTTAGAAGCTTACTAAACTTCTGCCAAGTGCTCCCGCATTTTGCAAATGTTCATACAAATTCCTGAAGTTCACGGATCTCCTCTTAAGCTCCATATATTTCTATGAAGTTCTCGAAATGTTTCTGAAGATCACTATCCTTCTGTGAAGATATCGAAGTTTTTCAAAATTTCTGGAACTTTTGTGCTCCCGCAATTTTTATGGAATTAGAACGAAATAATTAATATAGGTAGTTCTATGATTTTCACTGAAGTTCTCAAGATTTTTCAGAAATTCATGAAACTTCCCTTAAATAATTCACACTAATTTAAAACTTTTTCAATAGTCTAGATTTTTCTGGTGGTATTAAAACTGCCTAAACGATTATTGAATTTCCTTGAAGTTCACTAGACTGTACTGAAGAATTTATCAGTATTTTTTTAAGAACCCGCAACTTTACTGAAATTAAATGATTTGCCTTGAAGTTTCGACAATTTTCTTTAAGTATTATAATCATTATAACTTCTTCTTCTTATTCGCTTTTTCAAGCTTATTGCTTAGCGCATATTAGCTTATTGCGTGCTCTCAACTTAGTGTTCTAAATGCACTTCCACAGTTATTAATTGAGAGCTTTCGATGCCAATACCAATGCATGAATTTGTATATTGTGTGGCAAGCGCAATGATACTCTATGCTCAGGGAAGTCGAGAAAATTTCCAACCCGAAAGATTCCCTCGACCGGACCGGGAATCGAACCCGCCGCCTCCGGCTTGGTAATACCGTGCCTTTACTGACTAGGCTATGAGGCCCCTATTATAAACGCACACTAATTTCCCTGATCTTATCTATGCTTACCTGAAGTTCTCTAAATTTGTTTAATTATCCGGAAAATTTTCTCATATATCTATATAGAGCTGAAATTAGGGCGTAACAACTTTTGTAAACAATGACTTCTCGGAAGTCATAGCTCTCCCTGGCAAATCGATATCATCATCGAGTAGAGGAAGACTTCTCCTACTCGATGAAGATGTTGGTTTGTGTAGGCGTGCCTTGAATTCCGAGAAATCAACGAGAGAAGTCATTGCTTACAAAGACTGTTACGCCCTAATTCCAGCTCTATCTAGATATATTCATAATTCCCTGACACTTTTGACGTTTTAGGATCAATCATAGAATTCTTGAAATACCCCATAATTCCACGGAACTCCTTGTAAGTCGCTGCAAATTTGCTTAAGCTAATGGGACTATTCTGAAGCTATCTGATCGTCCTCGAAGTACTCGGAACTTTGCTGAATATCATGAAAATATTTAAAAATATCTAAATTGATTAGAAGTTCTCTGGATTTTTTTTAAAGATATCGCTGCTTGCTAAAAGTTCTCGCATTTTTTAAAAATTAATGGAACTTCGCTGATGTTCTCTAATCAACTTAGTTAAATTTTCGCATTTTTTTAAGTTCTTGAAATCTCCATGATATAACACCCTTAAAATACTCTTACGTTTTCCATATAATTTTTATCACGTTCCAGGAATTCTCTCGAAGCTTTGCTGAAGTTTCCGGAGTTTCTCAAAACTTCTTGAAGGTTTCTACAATTTCCTTGAAATTATTTGAACTGCTCTTTGATTCTCTGATCTGTCTTGATGTTCTCGAAGCTTCCCTACATCTCTCAATTCTATTGAAGATCTCGGTTCTGCTCGGAAATAAATGAAATTCCCGTAAACACTTATAAATTTCGCTTAAATTCTCTGGACTTCTGTGAAGTTCCTGAAACATTTCTGAAGTTTTCATAAATTCTCTGAAGGTCTCTGTGCTTCCCTGAAATTCTCGGAATATCTTAAGGGTTCTCGATTTTTAGTCTGATTTTTTTTTTAAATTTACGATTATAGATCTCTAACCAAAAGTCAAGACTAAAGCTACGGAAACTGCTCTTAAGATCTGAAATTCCCCAAAGATCTCTAGATCTAGCTTTTCTGAGGTATACTTAGAACTTCTTAAAAATTTGCACAATACCCCTCATGTTTTATATATTTCTCAAGTTTGCTTGACACCTGTGAAGTTCTTTGGAATTCTAGGAACTTCATAAATGTTCCTGAAAATTTTCGGATGCTAAAAGAACCGCTTTGAGGTTCTTAAGGGGAAGCAGACCGCTCCGAAAAAAAAAATTACGTTTTGATTTTTCTAAAAATATTGAAAAAAAAGTATCAAAAATCTAAAAAAATCAAATTTTTTCTAATTTTTTAAAGAAAATTCACGTGCAAAAACATGTTTTATAAGTCATTATGGCATAAAGTTGGACTCAAAAAACCACAAAACATCAACTTTTCGTTTTTTCTGAGAGTCCAATTTTTTATCATGATGGGATAGAAAAAATTTTGTTGCATGTAATTTTTGACAAAAATCTAAGGAAAAAACTGATTTTCTTGGATTTTTGATAATTTTTCCCAATATTTTTAGAAAAATAAAAACGTACCGAATTTATTTTTTTTTATTTTTGGGCCGGTGAGCTTCCCCTTAAAGTTTCCAGTAAGTTCCCCATATTTTCAGCGTATTAACTTCCCTTATGTTCCCACAGTTCTCAGCATTTCTTTTCATTTCTCAGAACTTCTCCAAAGTTCCTACAATAGTTGTGAAGTTAATGGGACTGCAATGAAGATTTCTAATCTTTCATAAAATTAATTAAAAAACATTGATTTTTTTCCTTGATTCTGGCACTTTGAAAATTTTCAATATCTTGGACTTGTTCATGGAATGCGAATCTTCAAGATATTAAATAATTTTAGATCTTGTACTTACTTAAATAAAGTAAGTTGTATTTTAACTTTATAAAGTGAGAAGTTAGGTAAATGTTAAACTTCACCATTCAATGGATTTGATTGTAAAGCTGTTTCTAAAAATTGATTGTCATGTCTTAAAAACGTTTGGGTAAATTGCTGTTGTTTTTGATCTACAAAAAAAAAAATAATTTTAACGCATTTAAAAAATAGCTTTCTAGGCTTATAATTTAAGCCTCGAATTTATCCGTTAAAGTTCTGGAAAACTCAGGTAATTTTATTTAGAAAGATGAGTAGACACTAGACTGATGCAAAATTATAAAAGTTCGCTCCACAGTGCTTAAACGGTTCCAAATTGGGTCCTGCTTAGCCTTCCAAAATTTGAACTACTTTAGTAAGGAACTGACTTGGCACAAACAATTTGAAGTTTATATGGGAATTACTATGGAGAAACCATAATTTCGGTTCATATCTATCTTAAAATTCACCCGTTCACTCTACTTTAGAAAATGATAGCTTGTTGAAAATTTTCTTAGCTACAACTTTGTTGAAGACCACTTTTCGATCAAATGTAAGGAACAACAATTATAAATCAAGTCACTGATGTCTTATGATTATGCTCAATCAACTGTTCAGCAGGCAAAATTGGTGTTTATGGCGCGTAGAATAGAGGACAAAAATCATGGCTACTATGTCACACTGCAGAATACAGTGTTGCCCACAATACAGTTGCTTAATCTTGCCATAAGATTATCAATCTCTTAAACAATTAATAACTATTTAATTTGACGTTTGACTGAAAAACGATTTCCTGCAAAGTTGTAGCTGATTAAAATTCCCATAAGAATAGCAATAGAATTTGTTAACAATGCAATATAGAAAAAAGGCTAAAAGGCAATAAACAAAAAGATTTGTTTTCCCATAGTAGTTTCCATATAAACTTCAAATGGTTTGTGCCAAGTCAGTTTCTTATCAAATGAGTTTAAACTTTCGGAGGCTAATCAGGACCTGATTTGAAACCGTTTGAACACTGCGGTACGAAAATTTCAAATTTTGCATCAGTCTAGTAGACACCCTGTAGATAGAGAAAGACGATAAAACGTCACAAAGCAAAGAATGATCAATCTTGAAATAGATTCGCGCTAAAAAAAGTTGAAAATAGTGACTAATTACAAGAAAAAGTGACTTTAGTGACTTGGCCTTAAAAAAAAGAGACTTTTTAGTGACTGGCTTGAAAAAAGTGACTCGCTACCAGCCCTGCTATAGGAACACATTGCACTAACGTACCTCCACTATCGGTGTGTTTACCCTAGCTCTTCCAATTTACCCCTCCAAAAAAGAGCTTATTTAGTAAAAGGATAACTTTTTCGTGGTAGGGTAAACGCACCTATAATGGAGGTACGTTAGTGACTATGGAGCGTCACGTTAGTGACTTATGGAGCCTCCCATAAACCACTATAGGAACACATTTCACTAACGTACCTCCACAATCGGTGCGTTTACCCTAGGTGACTTATTTTGTTTTTCTTTTCACTAATTTTGATGTCAACGATATGCTGTGGATGTACATATGATCCCCAAATCGCTGGTTGCATATATCGTGTAAATCTTTCAGCCATCCCGACGAGTACAGAACCAAACACTCAAATGCACAGTCTACTGTTCAATGGTTTTGGTACGCTGACTGAACGGGTTATCACGAGAGTTTACGAAAGTATTGAACCGTTTGGGAAATGTGGATTACTGTGCAGAATCATCGAAATCTCGATGCCCATCATAGCTTCGTTCAAATTTGTGTTTACCTCCAAAGTAATCAGCGAGCGCAGCCAGCTTGTCCGGATTTCCTTCAGGGTTATCAACCAGCACACGAACCAACGGACACGACCTTCGCGCACTGTCCTAGTAGCCTTTCTTCCTATTTGTTTTCTCGTCTTCCTTTTTCACAACCCCAGACAACTGCTTTTATAGCTCGGCTGGAGATTGGAACACAAAAACAAATCACTTTTCAACAAACACACACACACACACACGCGTGTCTGTTTAGGTCTGATACCGACCTTCTCAGTGTTCAGGGTATTCAGGGGGAAGGTCCGAATAATTGAGGGGGGAGGGAGTTGATTTGATGTGTATTCCCTGCTGCGTAAACCGTTCAGCGGCTCATCGAAGATACGACATCTTCAGGCCTCATCAGGATCTTCTTCGTCGTGATGCTCCACTTTTCGTTACCACTGGAGGAGAGCAGCTCCAACTTCTGACTGTACGCGACCAGAGCGAATGCGTTACGTAACACCGAGAACGATTTTCGTCCCATTTGGGGCTCCTCTTCACAACAGGAGGAAACGCGAGTTGCAGCTTGGTTCCACACTCAAAAAACACTCACCCACTCACACTCACACTTTTTGCTATTCGCCGTAGGTTCTGCTTTGGCCTCGTGGTTCGATCCGTGCGACGTCGAATCCACTACTACGGAGTTGGCTTTGTTGCCGTTCTCTAGATTATAATGGAGACAATTGTTGTCACTTTAGATTTTTGTTTTCTCTAAATTTTCACACTCGTTGCGGGCATAGGTTTTCTCACTCGCGCACACTTCATGATTATTCATCGGGGCTTCTGCTTCGTTTTCCCTTCATTTCACTCTTTGGGGGGACTATTTTTAAAACTGTATGCTGCCCATCTCGGTTTTCTCATGGCATCTAAAATTCGCAACTAGATTATAAATAAAACCACATTCACTACTGTTGAAGCTTCCTTATTGTCTTTGCTACGGTTGTTTGAATTATTGGTGCGATTAATGCTACGTACGTAGACACACATACACTAAGCGAACCCGGAGATAAATATCACAATTATTCTACGTTCTTTCTTATCCAAGGAACTCAGTTATTCCAAGCTCAATTCATCAGACTGCTGATGTCCTGGAGGCTCGTGAATCTAGTTTTTCCAACACTGACCGCCGATCGATGATGATTGCATCCGGGAAAACCCAAAGCAAATAGCTGAGTGCATTATCAAAGCCAGTGCTTCTTTCCCCGCGCACACATCAATAATCGACTCGGAACAATTAAATCACTGCTCTCACTTGTTCCCTCAAACAACACAACACGTTTTTTTTTTTCCATTCCCAGCACTCTTCCTCCGATGATTATTCAATCCTTTGCACGAAAACCACAGTTCACTTTCCCGAGACTTTTCCCCGTCCATCCAGCCAGCTGCAAATTTCCATCCTGGCTTGAATTCTTCTTTTTGCACTTGTCTCCATCCCCTCTACGATTGCTCAAAACTTTCCTCCGCACGCTGGGAGTCCTATTGAACCAACCTGTATCACTGTAGGTATATTGTACGTGTGAATCAAAGCTCCTAGAAGACGGTTATGGCATCGCCGTTCGTTGTTGGGTTGGGGAGCAGCACTTTGGAGCACTCACGCACACATACGCACATCCAGAGGCGCTCAGGACAGGACACGGCGATGGCGACGGCGACGATAACTACTACCCGACGACGTGTGGCCACGGCGAAGACAAAAACCGAACTGTGCTGTGGCTGCTGACCTGAGCTCCCAAACGGAGCATTCCGGGACACCGAAACGATCGGACAGCATGCATGCACACCACTACCACCAACTGAAGTGCGATTTCGCTCTCTTTTGAAATTCAGTGTCAGTGGCTTTTCGTGAGCGGGAAAACTCGGAAAACCTCTGTCGGGTGCTGCTACCTCCACGACCGATGAGAGTAACGCAAAGTTGAGTGGATTTCGACTCAAAAGTGCAAAAAGTGGAGTCACTCAGTGGGTGAGTAAAATTGTACTCACATTTGCAGAAACAAACTGCTTTAATATGAGGGGAATCGAGAGATATGTCTCAAGTCACCTTTCAAATAGACCAATCTACATTGATCTATTCTCTTCAACGACTCTCTCTTTCGTTAATAAATTGGCTGTATTCAAATTTCGGGCAAATTTTTCTACATATTCCGTTAAAAGAAAGTATTATCAAGCGTGTTGGACGATAAGATCAGCTGAACATGTTTTTGAAGCCGAGTTATTAACGAAAGAGAGAATCGATCAATGTAGATTGGTCTATTTGAAAGGTGACGCGAGATTTCACTCAGTCCATTAGTATGCTCCTAGACTGAGCAAAAGTTTGGTTTATTTTCTTCATATCAAGCAGTTTTCCAGGAAAAATGAGGAAAATTTTACACACCCACTGAGAAACTCCACTGTTTGCACTTTTGAGTCGAATTCGACTCAATTGTGGGGTACTCTGTTTGGCCGTGCTCGAATATGGGAAAACTCGAATATGAGCAAACTCGTAAACAGAGCAAAGTTTTCAAGGATTTTACTCACTCACTGTGAGTAGCCCCACATTTGCAATTTTGAGTTGGATTCGATTCGATTTCGAGTTACTCTTATCGGGCGTGTTCATTTAAACGAAGGAAAGCAGACCCGATAACAGTGTATAGCAAGAACAACGATCGTGGGACAAATATGCGAACTATTGAACTGCCATAAGAATTGCATAGAATACGGGACAGTTATGCGTATAGCGGCAGTGAAGGCATAGTGAAAAATCGGTGTGTGCGTGTAGCAGTGTTGGTGGATATGGAGGACTTTTCCGATGGAGTAATCCACCCAATAGCCGAGTGGTGTCTTTTCTGTCATCCCTAGGTGCTGTGAACTCACTCTATAAAACCAGTAACACTTTTGATGACTCAGTTGGGTTTTCAAATCCTATTATCGGTACAGTTGAAAACCGGAATAACCCACTAGCGGCAATCGATTTTACGCTCGTTCTGTACGTTAAACATAGTGTCGGAAGTAGTGCGCTTTAATCGCACAATCATGCGCTTTTCAGTTTTGACTCAGACATCATTTAGATTAGTAGAGCCATTTTCGTGCTCTGATTTATTGAAAATATGGAACACGATATTTTTTAAAAATTAGGCATTTGTTTATTTATTCGTCGTCAATTAAATGTAGACCAGTTTAATTTACAAAAACACTTTTAACATCTATTTTAATTTTCAATCTCTGACAAACCTCGAAAAGAAACGTTTTTTAAGAGCATTTTTGTTCATTGTCAAATCAATTGTTTCATAATGCCTAACTTTCTTAGAGCAAATAATAGAAACTGTTTTTGAACTGATTCAATGCGGTTTATATGAGTATCTTGATACGGAACCCGGACTATACGACAGTACTTAAGGGGGGGGGCTATCATATGCAACGTTTAATGTTTTGTTTGTGTATGGATTATTGAAATGAAAGCTAAACCTTTTAATAAACTCTAGCATGTTGCTTGTCTTGTAGATAATGTTATTGCAATGTTCAACAAAGCTTAATTTTGAGCCTAGTATAACACCTAAATCTCTAACTTGATTGCACATGTTCTTGGCCAATAATTTTCTTTCTTGTAAATGAAATGGAATTACATTTCTTCACATTAAAATTTCGGGCAAATTTTTCTACATATTCCGTTAAAAGAAAGTATTATCAAGCGTGTTGGACGATAAGATCAGCTTTAATAAACTTTTTGAGCACCAAGTGTAAAAGTTATCAATTTCTTGTTGAAATACTACAAGATCAGACGTTTGAAGAATTTCCAGGAAAAGTTTCAAGTCGTCTGCATATATTGATACATTCAGAATATTCAATATGTGCTCTACATCATTAACAAATAGAATAAACAGTAATGGTCCAAGATAGGAACCTTGTGGCACACCAGATTGACAGACATTGACTACTGACGACAAATCTCCTTCAAATCTAACTCTTTGTGTCCTACCGGTCAAGTATGACTGAATCCACTTTAATAAATGTTGACTAAAACCTAACTTAGATAATTTGAATAGCAAAAGAGGGATATCAACTCTATCAAACGCTTTACTGAAGTCAGTATATAGTGCCTCAACATAATGTCCCTTATCCATTGCGTTAATAGGAAATGTTACAAAATTCAACAGATTAGTAGTCGTTGGACGTCCTTTAACAAAACCATGCTGTTAGCCTGTAATTAAATGTTTAACTTGTGCAAAAACACTTTGATTTATTATAGAATTAAAAGAGTTCAGGAATGCAGGACAATATAGCAACTCCACGGTAATTTTTAGCGTCTGATTTTTTTTCCACTTTTGAAAATTGGAATCAAATATGATTCCTTCCAAATTGATAGAAAACCGGATTCGAGAGAAGAGTTGAACAGCCAGAACAATGGCTTTACTATCTCCTGCGATACTGATTTCAAGAATACTGGTGGCAATCCATCTGGGCCTGCACCCTTTGATGCATCCAATGTATTTAGAGAATGTAAGATTTCGTTGAGGGTAACATTATTAACTACAATATCTCTCATTGGCTCAGGAAGGTATGAAAAATACTGGTAATCCCGGTCTTGGTCATCATGACTTGTGTAAATATCCTGAAAAAGCTCAGCGAATAAGTTACTGATCTCGCTAGTCGTTTTTCCTGTTTTGTTGTCTAGGTAAATTTTCGAAGGATAATTATTTGACTTCTGTTTGTCTCTAACAAAGTTAAAAAATGATTTTGGGTCTGATTTAATGTTGTCTTCAACCTGAGTGTGATACCGTTCGTATGCGTTTTTTATTTCACAGTTCAAATGATCGCATATGTTCAAATAAATTGCGAGGTTACTATTATTTTGTTCTTTTTTATAGGCTTTATGAGCCTTTTGTTTTCTATTTTTGAGATTATTTATTTGCCTATTGTACCATGCTGGAGTTTTAGATTTCTTTTATTTTTTCCTTAGCTTTTTCGGTACTGTCGTCTCTAATATATCGTATACAATTTCATAGAACATATCTACAGCCTGCTCTGGGCTCGAATTTCTAATAAAACTTTGCCAGTCAATAGAATTTAAATTGTTTTTGATAAGCTCATAGTTTGCATGTCTAAAGTCAAAATAGGTTTCCAACAAATCGCCATCCAACATTGTGGTGTTATCGTGTATAAATACGGAGAATTCGATTGCAGTATGAAATATTTAATTTTCCATAGAGGTGCAGGAGCCTCAATCACGCAGAAATCATCGGTCATATTCGTAAATAATAAATCTAAATAACAATTGTTATGATTTCTGACATGATTGACTTGATAAAGTCCAATCTCTGCGCTTTTGTCAAATAAAGAATGGAGCGTTTCGTTGTCTCCAACAATCGGTATCAAAACAGATTCATTTTCGTCGTCAACAATAAAATTCGCTGCTCGTTGATTAAAGTCAACATTTGCTTCAGGCTCACATTTAGAAATAATAGTATCAGCACAGGGTGTCTACTCAATCCAAGGAATCAAATTCCCTTAAATTTCCAGGTTTTTCCAGGTAGTAGACACCCTGCAGCAACACTAAAAAACAATTCATATGATTCTTTTTTTGGCACTTTCAGGAGGAAAATACACTGTCGCAAAGATGTGAATTTGATTTCCAATAAAACATTTGACCCAAACATGATCAAACTCCTTACTATTGCTTGATTCAATCTTTTCCTATTCATAGTCGGTACACACTGCGATTAATACATCTCCACCAGACTTTTTGTTGGATAACGTTTTGTTACGATCATCCCTAAACACATTAAAGCGATCTCCGAAAACTTCTCTACTATTTAAGCTGGCATCCCAACTTGTTTCGGTGCCTAAAACGATAGAATAACTAGAAGCGGCTACCTGTTTATAAATTTCATTGACCTTTTTCGCGCTCTTCATCCAGTTAAAATTTTGGCAATAAATTATAAAATCTTTGCTATCGCACTTTCTCTTGCTATTATTGACTTCAGGCAAGTCTGTCATTTTTACTGTAGAAAATCTATCGGTCGACAAATTTAAATTATTAAAACTAATTACCTCCCTCTCACGCGGAGAAGTCGTCAATTCCTGGCGTTCGTCGGGATCCACGATAATTCCTCCAAATGGTGCGTCAATTCTGCAGAAAACCCGAATGCTTGCAAGAATACGCCTCGCACAATGCAGCTGAACGTCCTGGAGTCAACCTGTTGGGCGGGTGCGCTTGAGCTGGGCGCGGGAAAACATCACTCGCCGGGTAGGGGTTTAATATTTCACCCCTTTGAAATTGGATCGTTGGTTGGTAATTATTCGGTGGCCTTGAAAACCGATCTTTCGCTGCCGCAAGAAGGTCTCTATCATGAGGAAGACGGTTGTTTTCATTCTGTCTGGTGATGATCCGTTCTGTAGTTGATGATATTGTGTTGATTTGTGTAATTATTGTGATTTTGATGATTTTGATTACGACTGTGACTATGATTGAAATGTGCGTCTGCTTTTCGTTGCTTCTTCCGCTTTTTAGCCTTATCAGCCTTTTTTGCTGATTCAAGCGATGCAACTTCCGAGCATCATAGTCCGCCCAGTTCGCTTTCCATATTCGTTTGTTACCCAGAAGTCGCCATCCTGAGTCATCGGCATAATTTGAGTTTTTGATTTCGATTTGCAGGCTGGGGCACGAGCTAGCTGACGGAGTCAAAGGTGCGTTATGAAAATGTGCTACATTAGCAGAAATGAACTTCAATTCATCAA